CCACTAATGTCTGTGTCTGGATGTTTTCTGGTGCAATCCCAAGACAAAAAAACACTGGAACTGCTACCTCTACCCATCTTGCTATGCCTCACCACACTGACCATCCCATTCTGGTCACAGTGTGCTGCTGTTTAAGACTCAAAGATATCAGTAGGGAAGTATACCCCTAATATTTCCTACTGAAATAAATGGGAGGGCAAATTAAAGGACTTAACTTTGGCTAGAGTGTGTTCTTTGTAATCTTAGTAATAGACAAATAGCTGGGAGTATTCCTTCTTTAAGCTTTAAATATAAACTGTACTTTTAAAATTTAGTATTATATATAAAAATATCAAGACAGATTTGTTCACCGTCAAAGAAACAACTAACTTACGTGGCTTTTAGAAGAAACTGGGAGGGTGCATGCTATAATTTAGAATTGCAAGAAAGAAAGAGAAATGTTCACTGATGATGCTGAAGTATCGCTATGTACACTAAAGAACAGTGAGCCTGGTAAGCAGAATACTAGATTTCTATGCCTCAAAACAAGGGCTTGATTTCTCAATATTTATCAACGTAATTGTATGTCATGAGAACATCAGGCTTGCTTACAGACTCTCAAAATTAATTCACCATCTAAAGGAACAAATGGGATAAATCTCAAACAATTGCTGTGAGGATGAACAAGACAAGGGCTGCAGATATTTTGTACACAAGAAGGTCCTGCAAATTACATTCAAAAAGCAGATGTGAAGGATGCATACTAATCTCCATGTTATATATTTCAACAAAACAACTCATAAAAGATAAAAGGAAATTATAGCTTTTCTTACATAAACAACCATATTAAACAGAATTAGATCTGATGTAGAAAATTAACAGGAAAACACAATATGTGCAGCATAAGAAGATCAGGAAGTAACCATTTTGTACTCTCATAAAATCCTTTCTCTTACTTTCAGTTTATCGTTAGCATTATATCATTTGCATCAAAACCTTACTACTTCAAAGGATAAAGTTTGAATCCAGTGGCACCTTTAAAACTAACAAAGTTTTATTCAAGGTATAAGCTTTTGTGTGCACGCACACTTCTTTGGATGCAATGAAATGGAAATTACCAGTCCATACATACAGGTAGGGGGTGAGCAGTAAATTAGCATACAGCATAATGAAGATGTTTAACAGATTCAAGGACCAAACAAGAATAACAAGCTTGGTTTATATGGTTACCATTTGTTTGGGTTTAATTCCGGGAGGGGGGACATAGTGAAGGAAATAAATATGTCAGAATTGCAGATTGATGGGCAGCTGTATCTTTAATTGTGGGATGCTGGGGGTAATTAACTGAGACCCTGCCTTTATGCTCCATCTGTCTCCTTTTAAGCATGGAGGTGACCTTACAGCATTTTCTTCTTTGAAGTGGGACAATTGGTTATTTTCCCTGTCCCCAGACCAGAGAAATACATTCCAATCTACCATTCCCAATTACATTACATTCTACTATTCATTACGTTACATTCCAGTCTATTATTCTAATCTATTATTCCAAATAAGAAATAAAATAAAATAAAGAGGACATATGGCCTTTCTGGGGGACTGGTGAGAATACAGACGTAAGGGCTGAATGAGGATAGCATAAGTAGTGAGATAAGAAACCAATATCCCTGTTAAGTCCTTGGGATTTTAGTTTTCTGATATTGGTTTCCATATAAACTAACCTAGTTATTCCTGTTTGGTCCTTGAATCTGTTAAACATCTTCATTATGATGTATGCTAATTTACTGCTCACCCTCTGCCTATATGTATGGGCTGGTAATTTCCATTTCATTGTATCCAAAGAAGAGTGCGTGCACACAAAAGCTTATACCCAGAATAAAAGTTCGTTGGTTTTAAAGGTGCTACCAGACTCAAACTTTGTTCAGCTACTTCAGACCAACACGGCTACTCACCTGAATCTACTTCAAAGGATATATTACTTCTGATCTTTTTTTAAAAAAAAACCCAACTAGCAATCATCCTGGGCATGCATTACAACTTCTCCATATGTGGAATGACTGTTCTGTAGACACAGGGCTGTATTCTATTCAGTGCCAAATTAAAGGCTGATGGATTTTTCCTGAATCGCTCCAGCCTTGACTCTAAAATGGCAGTACTATGGGTTGGGTGACCTGCATGCATGGAAAACAAACAAATTTATGTAGCTGCATTGAAGAAGGAAACACGAGTAATATTATCTGCTAGCAGGCTCCACTGTGGAAAAGACAGAGAGGGATGATATAGCTCGCTTTGCCTTAATGCAGCGGCCTTTGTTGCATGGCTCTTCATCGAGATGTACCCCCCAGACTTTGGCAATGAATTTTGGAGGCTCACAGGCAGATTCTGGGGGAAGGGTGTGATAGGAAAATTTCATGTCTACCCACCTGTTACACTGGAGCTCATACAATTCCACCCCCCAGGAATGATGCATGAATTCAGGGGTTCATCTTAGCATGCATAGGCTGGCAGTACATTCCATGATATGTTCATGTATTTGAATGTGGAAATATGCAGAAACCAGAAGCACATGCAAGTTGTCCTTGCAGTCTTCATCAGAACATTGCTAATGGAAGTCTACATCTATCTATATATCTAATAGCCAAGTTGCCCCCTCTGTGTGGATATCTAAATCCGCACATCGGGGGCACTTGGGGGACAGAGAGATTTTCCTGCACACTTGGAGCAGTCGCCAGGTGTGTGGAAAAATCTAAAAAGTTGAAAAAATATACGGGGAATATTTAAATCCCCCCAAAAGTAAAAGCATTCCCTGCGCATGCACAGAGAATGCTCTGGCTGTTGGGGGGGGGTGGCTCGGTGGGCCCAGCAGCTGGGAGCCGCTCAGGCCTCGCCGCCAGTGCCCGGGGGGAGTGGGAGAATGCTCAGCAGGCCCGTGCAGCTTGCCGGCGGTGCAGGGGAGGGCGGGGGAGAAGGATTGGCGGGCCCGGTGGCTGGGAGCCATGCGGGCCTCGCCGTTGGTGCTGGGGTGTTGGAGGGAGAAGTAGAAGAAGAAGAGATTAGATTTATACCCCGCTCTTCACTACCCAAAGATGTCTCAGAGCGGCTTACAAACTCCTTTCCCTTCCCCTCCCCAAAACAGACACCCTGTGAGGTAGGTGGGGCTGAGAGAGCTCTTGACAGAAACTGCTCTTTTTCAAGAATAGCTCTTATCAGAACTACGACTTGCCCAAGGTCATCCAGCCAGGTGCAAGTGGAGGAGTAGGGAATCAAACCTGGTTCTCCCAGATTAGCGTCCGCGCACTTAACCACTACACCAAACTAGCTCTCAAAAGGATTGGCAGAAGGATTGGCACCCCCCCACGAGTATCATGGGTCCCCACTTTTTGTTTGCATCTATTTCCTGCTGCAGACTGAGAATATGAATCCTCATAAACAATCTGGACCACTGCACTATTTTTTTTCCTCAGGTCCAATTACTTGAGTCCAATTCGTTGCCTCATGTAACTTATCTCTGTACTCGGGACCAAATAATATTAAAAATCAAATCTTTTTATATCTTTAATTGAGTCACTGTTGGTGATAATGACAAACATAGATGTTCATTATATTTGGAGAAACATACTACATTTATCAAAAGTTAAGCAGGGGTGTGTGAAAGAGAGCCATTGTGTTGTAGTGGTTAAAGTGTCAGGGACTAGGATCTGGGAGGTTCATATCTCCATTCTACTGTAGAATCTTACTGGGTTACCTAGGGCCAATCATACACGCTCAGCCTAACCTACTGTGCAGGCTTGTTGTGAGGGTAAAATGGAGGAGAAGAGAATGTTGCTGTTTGTGCTCCCATTTGGGATAAAGGCAGGATATAAATTAAGTAAATAAAGAAACAAATAAAGGCCAGACTTGGTCAGTGTCAACACCCAAATACATATGGTAGCAGTCCCAGATCCATTCTATGAATGTTGGAGAGCATTCTCACAAACTGCTGACGATTTCTTAAAACTGATTGTCAACATTGATTAGTGACAAAACAAAACACTTAGTGTAAAACATTCAGAAATTCATCTGAGATTATCAGCATTCACATCAGCATTCACCAAATATTGGACACTATTGTAACACATAAATTTCTGGCTCTGAAGTAGAACCTAAATGCCCCAATTATCCATTTTTCATTCTAACAACAGAATTTTCAGTGGAAGTTTGTTATAAAAACATCTGATATTAGGAAAGATTTGTCATGTATGGTCAGATTCGTTGTATGGTCAGAGAACCAATATGTTTTTAACTTTATTAAAATTTTTAACTGCAACTCCCAAACAGAAAGAAATAAAAACATATAACAACAATGGTGGCAACTCTACAAATAAGCATCTAATTGCTCATGTTGTAACTTAAAGATGTATCTCTTAAACATATGCTTTGGGCCTGTGCAGTTATTTGGCCTTTTGGAGATGAAGTAATTACTCATATCCCTTTTGTATTAGAATATTCATTTATCTTTGAGGATGTTTATGTACTTTTAAACTATTTGCCTGTCTACTGGAGGCTAACAGATGGTCAGTGAAAACGGACCCTCCATGCCATTAATGCTGCTAAAAGACTTACATTACAGCACTGTAGAGATAAATGGCCACCTCCAGTAATCCAAAGAATTTAGGACTTTACAACCTTTTCAACATTTTAATGTATGGCATATACATGACAATTGTGCATGGACAAATTTAGAAACCTTTCATAAACGCTTAAACAAGATATGTTGTAAACTTCATCTAAACCTATTCATCAGCTGTTAGATAATATACATTGTAAAATATATTTAGGAACAATTTTGGTTGCTATTTTAATAATATAAATAATAATATTTGACTTGGTTCAAAATAATTCAATATCAACCCCACTCACAATCCTTATCATTTAATTTACATTTGTTGTTTGCATTGGTCTCAACATAATGGTTCAGAATGCTGATTTTCAGCTTGCTTCTGTACCACAATGTATGGTTAATGTGCAATTTCTTTTTATTTTACCTGGAATGTCATTATCTTCAATGCTGCCCTCTACTGATCCAATGGAATAGTTAGCTGGACTGATTGGAGGACTGGAAGTAAAGCTTGCATATCCAATGGAGGAGTTGATTTCAAAACAATCATGGCTGTGATTTGATCGGTGAAATTCAAAGGCTGACACTATTGATGTCCGTTGCTTGGGCTGGAAAAAATTGAGTTGAAATTTAAACATTTAAATTTGTGTTTTACCTCTGATCAGCTCTTTTTTATTAGGTTTTCTTAACATGCTCCTGAAAACTTTCTTTCCTTTTCTTTTTCATTAAGTTCATCTCCTATACATCATTTTTGAGATTATTGCTTTCTTTCATCCACAGGGGAAGCTGTATTACAGTCTAAAAATAAAATGTCAAGATAGGATAACATCCTAAGCATTCAATAAAGACTCCATATGCCAATAAAAGTGTTTGCAGATAACACAGTATCCAGATTTTAGTATTTCTTTCACAGCAAGTCTGAAGAGGGAACATTTCAGTACTGATTATGGGGAAATCGTATTAATGTCTAGACAGCTGAGCTGTGGAACAGAATTTCAATAACCATTGTGTGAATTTCCCATGACACAATCTTGATGGTATGTTAGTCAAATTTTTAAAAATAACATGGGTCCACAGGTATCTGATCCAATTATTGTTATGTATTCAAAATTTACAGTGACTAATACGCATTCTGATTTGCAGCTTGGGTAGAGGAGACCTTACCCAATTTGTACGGAAGGATGTATCTTCATATTTTCTACTCTACCTAAAGCTGGCTGCTATTCAGTATTTAGCAGAAACAGTGTGAAAGAGGCATTTCCAGAATTTATAAGAGATTATGAGAACAGTCTACTCAGACTCCTATTTAGATCTATACAATGGGGCTTACTCTTCATTGTTCTTCATAGCACTGTTCGCCTGCAATCGTCTTTCCCAAAAGTAAGCCCTGTTGAATAAAATGGCACTTGATTTCCATTAAACTTGTTTAGAATTGCTCCCTAAATCCTTGTTTAAAGCACAAAATACAGAAAGGTTAGCAATGAAAGGAGTAGACAAAGGAGGGGAATCAAATAATAAGCAAGGAAAGGGAGAAATGGTTTTACAGAAAACTGGATATTGAGGGGCTACGTACAGAAGGAGATCTTGGTAGGGATGGTGAAAGAACATGGCAGAAGAGGCAAAGAAGACTGTAACAGAAGAAATTGTAAGGACTAGTGAAAAAATTAACAGAGGCCCCGGTCACACGGAGCATTTGCCGCACTAAAGATACAGATAGGCAGATTTTCCGGGCGCGATCACACCACAACATCTGGGAAGTGTAGTGCTCCCGTGGCTATCCCGTGGCTATCCCGTGGCTTCCCACCGAAGATGCGGACTAAAAAACTAGTACTTACGAGGTACTGGCTTCCGGACATCGTGGGGCAAGGGCAGGCGTCTGATCGCGTTTTCGGTGGAATTCCGTGGCATCCGGCGCCCGCCGATGTTCCTTCGCAAACAAGGGTGTTCCCCCCCCAAGTCTCTGCAGGATGCGCCAAAGCGCCCAACGGCGCATGCGCAAAAACTTCGGTTAAAAAAACACCCGTTTGCCATGGAAGCGGCGCCTAGCGATTGCTGCTGTGATTGTGCCATGCCATGCTGCTTCTTTGCCACACTGCCGGATAGCCATGTGATTGGCACCTCACCCCCTAACCATGGGACCTCGACGGGACGTGTGATCGGGTGGCCGTGCATTATTTTGCTCCGGGGCAAACAGCCATGCTCCCCCCCCCCGCATTTTCTGGCCCGTGTGACCGGGACCAGAGATGACAGAGAAACTAAAGTGCACTGCAGATATATATAAACCACCAAAAGTGTGAATCTGATGTGGAGAGTGACATGGTTCAACAAAGCAAAGTTTATCATTACACAAACATCTGGTGGATTCTTGGATCACCCGCCCTGTAAAAATGGTCTAATTAAGGACTTGTTCTTTCAAAACAAGCAATAGTTATTCATTACCATGTGTCCAGTAAAATACACAACATTTGTTCTCTTCCATACAAACAAGTTTCTAAAATCCATAGTTTGTGTATAGATATATTTATAATTATGCCTTGCAGCAAAAGTAAAAGTCTTTAATCAGATTACTGTACAGGAAGAAGGGAATGCATAAACCTGAAACCTGCAGGCTTGTACATAAAACAAATTACAGTTTGTTATTACATCTCAACAGGAACAGGGAATAATCTGCTATGGCATGGATATCACAAAGAAAGAGAAAGAGGAGTGACACAAAATTCTGAATTAACTAAAAAGGAAAATAGCACAATTTAGCAACAAATTGGTTGCGGAACAACAAGGAAAGGTGGTCTATGAGATAAGAATTGTATTCATTTCTCACAAGAAAAACTTGGGAGTGGGAAGGGTAAGTCTTTGTCATGTTTTCCTCAATGTGGAGAAGTCAGAAAGAAATAACAGACTTGCAAGTGAAAGCCATTTCTCAACATATCCATATAAAACAATTAATTACTGGGATATTGGAGTTTGTCTTACAGATATGTTTTCTTCTTGTGTGCAGCATGGATAGAAAAGCACCTGGGTCCCCAGTGCAAGACTGGTGGTGCCTTACAGTATGGTGTAGTGGTTAGGAGCACAAACTCTAATCTGGGAGAACTGAATTTGATGCTACACTCCTCCACATGCAGCTGCTGGTGTAACCTTGATTCAGTTACAAGTTATTTCAGACCTGTTCTCTCACAAGCAGTTCCCGAAAGAGCTCTCTCAGTCCCACCTACCTCACAGGGTGTCTGTTGTGGGGAGGGGAAGGGAAAGGAGATAGTAAACCACTCTGAGATGCCTTCAGGTAGTGAAGGGTGGGGTAAAAATTCAATCTCTTCTCTTCTTCGTCTTCTTTTACATATGACATGGAGGAAATTAGTGTAGTGCATTCTGGGTTAACTCTCTCAGCACCTCCCTGTCTTCTAAAATGACAAGTTCCAGATAAAATCACTTGATTATCCTGTTCCTAAAATGAATGTGTTACAATCATTGATTTCATTGAACTTATGTGTGCATGTGGGTTTTGAGAAACAGGAAACAAAACCCCAGCACACTGGGATTTGTAATGTCTCTGGACTACATAAAACAAGTAATCTAGTAAGGACTGAGCTGTAGCTACTGATCTTTATTTGTAACCTGAGGGTTCAATAAATGTGTTTATTCTATGCTACTGAGCTAGTCCATGAAAAATATTGACATTACGACCAATGTCCCCTCTAAGCTGTGGAGTCTTGTGAGAAAAATTCTACGTTGTGAGCTACTGGAATTAAAGTTGTGAGCAAGCGATTTGGCTACTGCATAAATTAGTTTGCTCTGGAGCCGTCCCTGAGCTAAGACAAAAATGTGTGAACCAGAGGCTAAAAAACTGTGAGCTAGCTCACACTAACTCAGCTTAGAGGGAACACTGATTACAACCTGTCAAAGTCACTATCACATTTCTAGCTCCTTTCCAACAATACTGCTGTCTAGCCAGGCATACTCGATTTTGTACTACATATTTAAAATTCATTTTCCTCTAAGCAATGCTTACACATTTGTTAATGCAGATTCAGTCTGTTTAGTTTATCTGAACCATGTTTAATTCAAATAATATATCCAATATTATTATTTCTACATTATAAGAACACAGAAGCCTTGCTGGATCAGACCAATGGTCCACCTGGTCCAGCATCCTGCCTCACACAGTGGCCAACCAGTTCCTCTGGATGGCCAACAACCAGGCTCAAAACAGCTGGAAACCTCTGCCTTATAGTATTCTAGTAAGGTAATTAGCGTCCCCTACTTACCACCCAAGTCTAGGTTACTATAAGATTTTAAGAGCTCTGACCTCTTTGAAGTTGCATCTGAATAGGAGCACGCCCATAGAAACAAACCCAAACAGTTTCCGGGAATGCAAGGAGAAATTAGGGTGGGAGATAAATGCCATCCCATCCCACCTAGCCTGTACAGCAGGGGCCCCCAATCTTTTTGAAAATGCAGAGTTAATGGGGGAAGGGGATTTCCCAATCAATTTATCTCCCCCCATGTTTGTTGCAGACCTCCAACCTGTATTACACTATCACTAGTATTTACATATTCTTAACACTCAAACAAAATAAGCAATTAGAGGACATTTAGAGATTTCACTACACCATTCTTAAAATGAACAAGAGAAAACAATTTTTTAAAAATGAACTAAATAAGAGAATTTATATTTCTGACCACCCACCTGAGGTCGGATAACTTTCACTATATTTTTCAGTGCAGTATCTGGTGAGGGAGGAGAGCAGTCAGGTGTTGGGCCTGTTGAACTGTTTCTATGGTTACCAGTACCTGGTGCAATAATTGCTACTTGAGGTGCATTATCTGTGAATAAAAATAGCATTGCAATGAACTTCCACATTCTATAGAACACACATTTGTAAATCGGAAATTGGCTTTGAAAACAAAAAGGATTTCACCTGCTAAATATTTTAGGTAATTATGATACTTTGCCTTTAGTTTGAGGCATTTACATCTTGGTTTGAAACTGAGTGTTATGTTGGATTCCTTCCAGTTCTAGGCTATTGTTAGGCATCCTGATACAGCAGGGCAACTACTTGCAGAAACAGTCTTCAATATCTGGACTGTCTCTTAGGTTATGACTTGTGTCCAAAAGGGTGCATTGGGGACCCAAATCAGCTTATATTGTTCTCCTCTCTTTCATTTTATCCTGACTACAACCTTGCAGGGAAGGTTTGGCTGAGAAACAGCGACTGGCCCAAGGTCACACAGCAAGCTTTCACGGCACACTGGGGATTCAAGACAGAACCTAGTCTGTGTTATGCTTCCACAATATGAGCAGATATGAATGGGTGTTAGCACTGCCAGAGCTGACAGCTCCCTCTATCTGTTTGAGGCTGAAGAGACATATCAAACACTTTATTTCCTTCCAACAGGTTATCTATACAGTCAAAGCTGATAGTACAAACTCTTTGTTTTGGAATAAGAAACCCACTGTTTATGTTACTTACCTCCTAGGGATATCTCAATAAATGTGGCAAATGACAATGACCATTCCAGAAATAAGGATCACATGTATTAATCAGAGGTCCACCCACTAATGTTTGAAGGGGGTGAGTTGGAGGCAGGAGTCTTATTTTAAACAGAAGGGGGGGAGGCAGCTACAGACTGTCTTCTCCCTGACCTTACCCTATTGCATTCCATTGTTTTTGCTGATTTCTTTAAGGCCAGTTCACTGCCAAATACTGGAACTGGGTTAAAAGAAAAATCTTCTAAGTAACAGAACACAGTGGCTACTTCCACACAGCATACCACCACCTTTTTTTAGAAGCCTCCATAAACATCACACTCATTTTGAGAAGGGGCCCTGGGACTTTCTCCTTTAAACTGAGTCAAAGAAAAATCTCCTTTGCTCCAACTTAAAGGGGAAACTGCCTGCTGGCTGCAGGCAGAGCATCTTTGTGGTGGTTCAGCATGCGTCTACTCCACATGGGCACAAAGCTTAACAAAACTTTCAAAATGGCACTGCTAAGCTCTGCTTTTCTCTCCCTCTCATAGCCGTTTAACAGAACTTCTTTCTAGAACAACCTGAGCTGCAAGCCAACAAGATAAGCAAGAATGAGCCATACACACATTTCCCCCCTCCTTTCAATACCCCAAGTGCATTTTATCAAACTGTTTTATTACTCATGTGTATTCTTTGTATTCTCCTATTTCAAATGTTTAATTAAAAATACTTTCCCCCAACTTTAGCTATGAATTGGTGAATACGTGTTTCAGTGTGTAGACTCATGCCTAGTTTGGCTCAAAAAAAAGTGTATTCAAATTTCTCTTCATACATGCAGTAACAATTTTTTCCTGAAAAAATAGCTATACAGCACATTAAGTATTTGCACAGGAAAAGCCCTGTATCTAAACACAGATGGTCTGGACCAGTGAATCTCAGTAACTAGACAACTCAAATATTACTTCTTTCTCTGTGTATATTCAAAAATGGCATCGTTAAGCTTAAAAAGAAGATCCAGGCCTTAGTATGTTGGAGGATGGACACTTTGACACAGCCAATGGACAATACATTAACAAACATGTTTCTTTTTTAAGATTTACAGGGTCTTTAATACAGAAGGGAAAAATGCAAGTCCAAATTTCAGTGACTAGACATCCCTGTCTTTTAATATGGTAATGGTGCTGCTGGTTGGAAAGCTAATAACGTTTGTCAAGGTTTCCAGAAAAGTCAAGAAGAAACCAGAGATGGAGGACCCTGCTTCCCCAGCCTCTCTGGAGCCTTTTGGCTATTGTTTGACCTAGAAAAAATAGCCCACACACTCTGACTAGGTAGCTGCCACCACCTGTCACTTTTCAATCTGAGGCAAAGTCTGACATAGTTTTTAGAACCATGGCATGCAAACGGTACTTGACAACCAGATCTATAATTCTGAAAGTGGTAACAAGTTTGATATTTCAGTCAAAGAGCACTACATTTACAGAACTGTGGAAATTACTGTACATTTTCAGATGAAGAAAATGAGTTTGAAGAAATCAAAGAAAAAAATTGCTGCATAATGATATATATTTAAATTGTACTGGAAAAGCATGTTCTCAGAAATGTGACTGCCAATGCAATTAGAGTATGCAGAATGTTTTCTAACGAACAGTGTTGAGCAAAAGCTCCACAGCATCATGGAGCACAAGTACTATTTGCTGACTAACAGTGCCATCCCAAGTAGAATTACACCCTTTCTAAGTCCATTGAAGTCACCTGGCTTAGAAGGGTGTAACTTTGCTTAGGAGGCACTGTTAGTTTATGGGGTTTTACTTTCGAAAGATAATCTATATAGCTGGTATATGGCTGCCCACTTTTTAATACCTACAGTCGCTATTCACTGTAAAACAAATTTTGGAAGTGCAGAACTTAAAAATAGTTTCAGTTGTTCCTAAGGAAGAGCCTTTGATTCAAAATGTACTGGGCCTTAATAAACTGAACAGTTCCTTGAGTATTTTTCAGGTTCCTCCTATTCTTTGTTTCCTAAAGTGATGAACACTTGGTAAGCCACAATACATGGGTGGCAGGTTGCAATAAATGTGGTGGATCAAATGTTGTGCTGGCCTTTCATGAGTAAATGAATATTTGCTTTGTATTCTCCTGAATCAAACCATTGTTGATGCAGAGGCTAAGTCAAATAACCAGGTTCTCATATGATAAAGATGAAATTATACAGCCCACCCCCTCCTCTCACTAAATATAGTATTGCCAACCAACTGGAAAAAATGGCTCAGCTGTTATTTATTCACTGGTGCTGGGAAAAATCAGAGCTAAAAGGTGCCCCATCTCTTGCTATATTTGTCCTTCATTTTAATTTTAAAAAACATTTTTCTTTTTTTCCCCATTGGGCATCCATACTGAAAGATAGGTAGAGGGAGGCCAGATCTGGGGGACTCTGAAGATGCAGAGGCCACAAATTTAATATGGACACTGGCACTACCTGCTGTCAGTCTCAAGGATATGGGACCACAGGGGCAGAAAATAGCAGGCAGGCATCCACCACTACAGTGACCAGAAAAAAGCCCACATGAAAAAAGCCCACAGAAAAAAACCCATGGTCATAAATGCTCACATGAAAATAAGCCCACACAGAAAAAAGCCCGTACACCAAATAGCCCACACAGAAAAAAGCCCACATGGAAAAATACCATGTAAAGCACCAAAGATATGTATAACTGTGAATAATCATTCATCTTAATTTATGAGAATGAACAGGTATTACCTATATTTTATATTATTATTTTAGGATTAAAACATATATTCACATGCAACAATTCGTGTTGTGATTTTATTAAGTATAATTAAATAATAATTTTGTTATGTTATTAGTAAAGTACTTAATTACTACACAAAAGTTGACTGTATGAAGAGGGCTTTAATGCTCTTGACTGTAAAGTCTTGGAAGGAAAAATACAGGAAATAAAAGTGACCATTTTGTTATCAACAAACTTTATTAAGAAGGAAAAACAATAACAACAGAAATGAACTTTATATAGAAATATGTTTAAATAAAATTAAATACTTTAAATTTATTCATTTACCATTTGTCAATCTTTGTAATGTTGGTATGAAGTAATTTCTAAAGTAAAGACAGAAAAATGTTAAATTAAATTATGTATATGGCTTAAAATTCTTCAGCCTACCTTTATCTGCCCCTCTGACTTCAGCCTTCCATCTCCTCCCCCTTTCCTCCTGGAGAGCAGTTGTAATTCTGAGTGATCTCCACCCCTCAACTGGAGATTGGCAACAATGGTTACCCAGGAAGAAATGGCTTGTTTGGAGGGTGGAGTCTATGGCACTGTAGCTGTCTGAGGTCCCACCCCTCCTCCAACCTCACCCTCTCCAGGCTTCACCCCTCAAATCTCCAGGAATTTCCTAACCTGGAGTTGGCAACCCTATCTCCTTCCCAGCCAATCATCACCCTACCTTGATCTGCCCCTCTGACTTCAAGTTTCCATCTTCTCCCCCTTCCCTCCTGGAGAGCAGTTGTAATTTTGAGTGATCTCCAGCCCTCACCTGGAGATTGGCAACAATTGTTCCCCAGGAGGAAATGGCTGGTTTGTAGAGTGGAGTCTATGGCATTGTATCTGTCTGAGGTCCCAACCCTCAGAAACCTCACCTTCTCCAGGCTCCACCCCTCAAATACCCAGGAATTTTCCAACCTGGAGCTGGCAACCCTGGTCAGGACTGGCCCCAATGAGTTCCCCACAAAGGCCTGGAAAGGGACTCCTGGCTTTGCCTTTTTACGTTGCCTATTTACCAAGCTTCTGCCTGTTTATGAAGCTTAGTTGCCCAGCAACAGCCACTGAGGGAAAAGTTAGTCCCACAGGAGCCAAGCAGGAGAAGTGTCTTCGTCAGGAGAGACAGCCGTTTGGCAGTTATTCTGACAGGAACAGTGGCTGAGGAAGTAGAGGGTGGGGACAGGGCTGGCCCGAGGTTTTTTGGGGGAGGGGAGTCCCGGCCCGGGCCAAGACCGCCATCTTCGAGCTGCGCGGATCTTTGCCAGGCCTTACAAGAGGGGGGAGGGAGGCTCTTCTTGGCTGTGCTTTGGAAGGGCTCGGCCTCCTGTCCCTTTGGGAGCCGCCTGGAACAGGCCTGGGAAGGGGTGGCCTGCAACAGGTCTCACTGCTTTCTAGCGGCAGCAGCCGCAGGCTCCGGATGCCCAGAGAAGGGTGGCGTGGAAGGCTGCCCCAGTGGGCTGTCTGGCTGACACGGCATGCTTCTTGGCTTTGGGAGCCCCCCTGGGGACTGGCCCTCCTGAAGGCAGTGGGCAGCGACGTTGATAGGAGACGGCGGCTGCTGGAGTGGGGGGGTTCTCTCT